TTAAAAAAAAAAAAGGTTATGTCTGTCAAGGAATTGGGAGGAACTTTAAAAGGATCAGTGGGTATGGAGAAAAGGATAGCTTGAGAATTCGAAAAGGAAACTAAAAAGGTTACAAATGTTATTGTAACTAACTTCTCAGCTTCTTTGGTTTATCTCCTTTATCAACAACCCAGATGATCGCCTTTTGCCAAAAAAAAAAAAACCAAAAAACAAAAAACAAAAAAAAGAACATATAGGAAAGTCCCTGGCTCATAAAGCGTTTTATATATAGAATGTGCAATTCAAAAGAAAAGGAGGTCTTATTGGATAGGAAGAATCTAGGCATCTTCAGTAAAGATTCAACTTTTAGGTCTGCAAGAGTGATGAAGGGCCTTTTTTATCATCTCTTGGTCAAATTTATTTTTATTATTTTTTTGAGACAGAGTCTCATCATGTTGCCCAGGCTAGAGTGCCATGGCGTCAGCCTAGCTCACAGCAGCCTCAAACTCCTGGGCTCAAGCGATCCTCCTGCCTCAGCCTCCGAGTAGCTGGGACTACAGGTGCTCACCACCACGCTGGCTAATTTTTTCTATTTTTAGTAGAGACGGGGTCTTGCTCTTGCTCAGGCTGGTCGTGAACTCCTGATCTCAGGCAGTCCTCCTGACTTGGCCTCCCAGAGTGCTAGGATTACACCTCCGTCAGATTTTTGTTCCCTTCCTGCAGGTAAAGATGAGACAAGTTTGCGCCTTAGGCCAGCTGCAAATCTGGATCTCTACCCCCAGCTCCTAGCTCCAGTCCTCCTTGGTCATCCTCTCTACTTCTGTCAAGTAGTACTGGAGGAGATCACTGGATCCTTGCCAAGTGGGTCCTTGTTTTAATATCAACGTGGTTTTCTCTGCTCTGAGTGTAGCTTATGTGCCTTCTGCCTTGTAATGTATTGGTGCAAACCACTTCCTCAACCCTCACATTCTCAATTCCATCCCCACCTCCCTACTCCCAGAAGATAAACCTTACCCGCACCTCCACTGAGATTAGTGTCACCTAGTTTTTATCCTTTTGTTGCCTTCTTACCTGTGAAAGAATTCATAGCACACCATACTTTCCAAAATAGAATGTCCATTCATCTTTCTCTTTCTTCCTGTTTTAGAGCAAGAAGTGGTAGGTTACCTTTTCAAGGTAGGATGGATGTGCTTCCTGGGCTCTTGGCATCATGCCTCTTGGTCATTTGTACTCCTTCCCACCTTGCATTTCTCTCTTTCCAGTGGATTTTTCCCCTTCTACAAATATGTGTGTGCCTCTTTTTTTTATAACAAAAAAAAATTGACCTTAAACCTTTTTTTTTATCAATCCTGCTGTTTATGTAGACTATATCTCATTACATCAATTGGGCCATCATCCATCATTCAAACTTCCAACCGTCTATCCATCTAGTGTTCTAATCATCCCAACGTCCCTCCATCCAACATTAACTGAATGTTTACTATGACCTCGTTTTGCACTTTAGAAAACTGAGCCCCAAAGAATCAAGAGAACCAACCAAGGTCACACAACCCAGCAAAAGCCCTTTAAACTAGATGATAGGATCACTGTTGACTACCTAAATGCCAAACCCAATTGATGCTTTTTAGTTCTTATGCATCTTATTTGACCTGTATAATTTGTGAGGTGGAGCACAAGTAGGAGAAAAGCACTAGCGAGATTAACTTTTTAAAACAATGACATGCGTAAATTTATAATTTTTTGGTTATCTGTCAAATTAAAAACTGCTTTGTGTGCCACTGTGGCAGGCCCACCAAGCTACTGGCATGTCCAAGAACTACTTTTAAAATCTAAATTTGTTTATGAGAGCTTTGCTGTTTACATTGTTGGTGTGCACCAGGGAAAAGAATTCAAAGTGACACCAAATATGTGCGCATTAAGTAACACCATCTGTCCATTTGGATCTGTGCAGCTCCAGGTGCTTGCCCAAAGCCTGGCATGTTTCAGGATAAGGGAAAGATTGTTATGCTAAGACCCCAAATTAGTAGACTTGGTTTGAAGTTTCAGAAGGCTTCAGATTCTTCCCTTCTTTCTTTCCTAGTTGTTCATTCAATACATATTGGAAGAACAGAGGTCCTCCTTTATACTGTTGTCCCCTGTATACAGTAGAAGTCCTTCTTTATACTTGCGTCCCCTGTACACAGCAGGGGCTGTACTCCTGCTGTGATATGATAGGTCTGAGAAGACAACCCCAGACAGCTGCACGAATAACCCAGTCTTTACTGAGGTCTGTTATTACAGCATTAGAAATACTGGGTAGAAGGTCTATCTCTTATTATAATGCAAATGTCTAGTTTATATGAGTCATTTATATCTTAGGATGGATTATCTGATCTCATTTGATAGACTATTTCTGTATTGGTTTTTATAGCTAGGAAAGCACAGAGGGGGATAGTGTCAGTGGGCACATGGAAGTGCAGGTTTGAAAAGGGAAATGAGAGGGCTACATCTGTCTGGGTTTTTTTACATGAAGCAAGGGAGTTATAAAAAGAAGTCTTGTTATAGGGACTTGGTAAGTTAGTGGCAGAGAGCTTGGGCTTCGGGCTAAGTGACTATTTAGCTGTGTGACTTTGGTCAGGTCGTTGTGCCTTGAAGGATAGTCCTCATGCCGCATTGGTAAATGGACTCTGTACATAGTCCTTTAAGGTCCCTTTTAGTGCTGACATTCTGTGGTTCTACTGGAGGAACTGAGAAACCTGAAGAATGCGGAGGATTTTTTGTGTGATGGGTACAGGCATGCCAGGAGCAACCTGTGACGGGCATTGTGAATCTGTGGCATGGACTTGTAGTGGCAGGAGCCAAGTTTTTGTGATCCTGGAGCTCAGCTCATGACCGGTATGGAACGCTTAGTGCTGTGTGATGGAATGAATGAACTAAGGCCTGGCAGGTGCCGCAGCACAATACAGAAAGCAGAGCAAAGGCTTGGGGCAAAGAAGGTTCTCCTCCCCTAGTGATCGAGAGCCACTGCCAGTTCTGCGACCAGTGTTCTGAGTCCTTTGGAGTCTTCGTCTCTTCTAATAAAGGCAAAGCCATGAATCTCTTGAGGGCTTTGTTGAGTAATCAGGACTGTATCACTGTCACAATGATGTCCAGGACTTTCCACCAACAACCCAGTAACAGACAAGATGCTGTACTAACCTGAATTGTTGTCTGGCAAAAAGAGGGGCGACTCATAGAAATATGTGAAGAGGCATGGATATTATTACCGTAATAAATGGTAGCTTTGCTGTTACCTTTGAAAACTGACTATGCAGCAGACACTGAACTAGGTGTTTTACATGGGTTGGTTTGAAAATTAAGGGCCCTTGAGATAAATATTTCTGTTTTACAGTTGAAGAAACTGATGTTCAAATAGATCAAATAACTCACTCCCTTCTGGATCTATGCTCTATACATTTGCCATTCTTGAACTTTCTTCCTTCTTCAAACAAAATCTCTTATTTTTGGTATTCTGAATGTTACAGATTAGTCTTATTCCTTTTTAACCTTTATAGTATATTCTCCTCACTCTGCCAAGAGAAATTACTTGAATGTTTTAACATGTAAAAACTCATATACTGCTTGAGCATCCCAAATCTGAAAATTTAAAACCCAAAATGCTCCAAAATCTGAAATGTTTTGAGTGTCCAACATGACATTCAAAGGAAATGTTCATTGGAGTGTTTTGGATTTTTGGATTAGGAATGTTCAACCAGTATAATACAAATATTCCAAAATCTGAAAAAAAAAATTCAAAATCCAAAGCACTTTTGGTCTTAAGCATTCAGGATAAGGGATACTCAACCTGTAGTCAGAAGGAGTAACTCCCTGAAATTAAATAAAGGTGCCCTATTATGGGATTGGAAACATTTCATTTGGTTAATACTTCCTCTGGTCATTCATAGATGTTCTTTATATATTTTTAGATCTTTGATACAATAAAAGAGAGAAAGTATCAGTTTTTAAATAATAGCCCGAAGTCCATTCCAGAGTAGATAATGAATTCTTGTTTTTAAGAAATAAGTAAGGATAAAGGTAATTAATTCTATATTAATTGCACATTCTGTGTTATAAAAATGTAGCTATCCTATGAGATTCTAGGATATAGTTGATTCTTAAATTTCTTCTGTGGGATGATTTTTGACTGCTTAAGGAAAAAAATTCTAAGTCAGAGAGGAGGGGAATGGATGTGGGACATTGAAGAGTGGTGGGGAAGTGTTCACTGTAGAAGCCGAGGGGTCCAGGTGAGAAGGGCTGGGGGAGGTCACTTGCTTTTCTGGTACTTAGGAAGTCCTGACTTCGATCTAGTCACGTGAGCATCATTGTTCCTCCTTTTATTAATGAAAATTATTTCTTTTCTCTTTCAGAATTCACAGTACATAATGATTAATAAGCTTGTGAAATAGGAAACATTAATGGTGTACAACAGATGCTTGTGTTTATAAAGTACTTTTCAGCAAGTGGAATAATGCTGAGTCTCAGCAGTTGGGTGCCTTCCACACAGGAAATGGGATACCTCTCATTCCTTTTGTTCTGTAAAACCAGCATTTCCCTAAGGAGGTCTTACTAAAAAAAAAAAAAAAAAAATTCCCTTATCGCCTTTCCAAAAATTTTACCAAGTCAGAATATAAAGTGCCAAGAATTTGAATACTTCATAAGCCATATTTCTGGAGTTGGCTTTCAGCTATGGTGCTTTTGTTACTTGAATGTTATATAAATTTGGAGAAAAATAACGAACAGTTCTTAACAGTGTTCATTTATTAGTGATTGTAGTAATAGATTTTGTTGAAACCAGTATTAAGCAGAGAAAACCACATTGATAATTTTAAGTGTTATTGTTTTAATTTTATTTTTAGAATAAACAATTTTTTGGGTTAAAAATTGTTTAATTAAGTATTTAAGGTGGATAGAATTAGTAAACATAACATACTTTATGGGCATGTGTACTGAAGTCATAAATGGTAATAAGGACCATAAACGCGCTTATTATTTTTCTGTTCTAGATATTTGAATGGTGGTATTTTCGCAAGTATGGAACTTCATTCATTGAACAAGTCTCAGTAAGCCACTTGCGCCCCCTTCTGGGAGGGGTTGACAACAACTCCTCCAACAATTCTAACTCCAGTAATGGGGACTCAGATTCCAACAGGCAAAGTGTCTCAGGTATGGAAAGTCCTTCAGTTTGCAATATTATTTGCTTACTCTTACTAAACTATTATTGTTACTCTTACTAAATTATTATGAACATAAGACAGTAATAATGTTGTTATTTAAAAATTAGGCTTCAGATAAAAATGCAGCTCATTTTCCCAGGGAGTTGACAAGCTGTATCAGAAAAGTAGGGTGTAAGCATCCCAGGGAAAGGAAATGTTTATCTTGTTAACTTCTTCTGTTTGATCATTTAAGTCAATGTTTCCAACCTGAGGCTCCAGCCTCCTTGTCTGTAGTTTCTCACACCTTAGTAAAATGGATCCATTTTCTTCCATGATAATTGCAGAATCTTGTATCTAACTAGATCTGATCACATCACTCCTCTGCTTATAAGGCTTCATTGATTCCCATTCCACTGAAAATAAAGCCCAGATTCCTTAGCACAGCATAAGCTGCCTCTAACCTATCTTGCCAACTTTGGCTTCTGTCACAATCCAGTCCCTTTCCTGAATGTCCAGTTTTCTGGCCACATGAAGCTACTTTTCATTTCCTAAGCATACCGTGTTCCTTATGACACTCTGCCTAGAAGAAGTCTGTCTCCCTTTTTCTCTCGTTCATCCATCACTACCCAAACCAAATGTCACCTCCTGGGAAGCTTCTGTGATAGGTTATACACTATCTCTCCACTTTCATTCATCCTTAATATTTTTACCCTTGGCAACATGTATTAAATTGCATTGAATTTTTAAGGTACTGCTTTATTGCAGTATCTCTAGCATCTTGCACAGTGTCTACTATTTCTTTGAAACTCAGTGAATGAACACGAGTACATGCAAAGACTGTGCTTTCTTCTCTTACAAAACAAGAGGGAAGAATATAATTTCTTAGCTCAATCTCTTTATCAACTCAGTAAACTTTTCCTAAGTACCTGTTATGAACCTTGTCTTATACAGGTTCTTCTGAATTATTATGACTAAAAAGAAGTCCAGGTTCTTTTCCCCATGGAACTCTCTGTCTGCTGCAGGACACAAAGCAATGAGTGCTCTGATTGTATGAGGAAAACATACAATGCAATGGGAAACAAAGGAGGGGATCCTGACCCAAACTGAGAGGAGAGGTTTGCTTCTTGAAGGAGAGGGCACCAGTTCTGAGACTTAAAGCATAAAGAGGAAGAAATTAAAAGAGCTAGGTTAGATATTTTTTCTTCTTCTCTAGAATAACTCAATCCACATTTGATAAAAGCCTCAGGGAACATTGTGCATAGCTTTTGTTCCTGATGTTGAGTCAGTGCTCTTTTAGTAGACCATTTGCCAGCCAGCCATGAGTGGTACTAGGCAGCTGTCGGTGCACATTTATTGAACCTAAAGGGTACACGCATGAGGGATGGCACCACCCAGGTAACAAAATTGTGTGGGACTCTGTAAACTCATCCACTTTGTGAAATAGAAAGAGACCTGAGCAAAGCAAAACATTGCTTTAACCAGCTACTCTAATAAATGCGGCTTATTATTCTAATGAGGAATCTTGATCATTCAGTTATCAGGCATGAGCAGTTGTGGATAATTGCCACTACTTTGCATCTGCTATGAATACCCTACAGATTAACTGTGCTCTTATCTTGACTATAGTCTTTGAATGACATAGAACATTGTAGAAAATTAGCAGATTGACAACAGAAAGCATCCTCATTTGAAGCCATTCTTTATACTGAATACATTTATATTTTCATTAAAGTTTGCCCTCTCTCTCTCTTCCCGATTTAAATTTCTTGACATAACTCGTTAATGCAATGAAAAGTTCATACTCTTTTTATTGTCACTATTATTTTGCTGGCTGTCTTAGTGGATGCCTTGATTAAGCTTTATTTATTATATGAATGTTGATACTATTCTAAGTGCTGTAATGGCAGCTTTGTCAGGGAGAAACCATGCCCTTTTAAAAAATATATTCAACAATAATAACCATGGAAATTCTCAGTTTTATCTATAATAAGTTTTTACCTAACACTGAGCTTTTGAGTATTATTAATTCAATTCCACTAGGATTTACTGAGTGCCTACTATGCATTCCATATTTCCATTCATTTCATGTATAATAGATATAGCATTTATGATCTGATCTCATAACAATATTCAAATAATTACCTTTAGAAAAATGGAAATTACCTTGTCTAAGTATATTTCAGCATCAATCTGCCCACTTCTTCTTGACATTGAGCTTCTAATATTTGGCTAACTCAGCTCAACAAACATGCATGCTAGTATGGAAGTACCAGATACCATGGGACCAAGATGACTTTCTTTTTTCTTGTGGTGATTTTTATTTTTGAATAAGAAAAATACTATAAAAGTGCATTGTCTGCATTTATCTCTACCCTTAATCACTTTCTATTTTGTCATCTGGTGTCAGCTAAGTGTAAACGAAAAAGTAGGTACAAAGCTGAGGATAATCAGTATATTTTCTTAAAACAGAGAGATTTGTGTAAAAATCCCTATTGTCTTCATAATAATAAAATGACTGTTGCCTTAATAACAGAAGGGTGAAGATACAGATTTTCTTGGAGCATCATAAGGCACCTCTTTCCTGAATCTTCCATGTAATATAACATGGCCAACAAAGTCCCATGGATGTTGGCAAAGGCAGTTTAATGGCATTGATTACTTGAGAAAATCACTGAAGAAAGCTAAAAATAAATTGAAAATATTGATTATAAATGTTGGTCCATATGAAAACTTAGTGTAGCTCTTTCCTTAAAGAACAAAGTAAATAGACAACCTACAGAATTCTGTAGAAAATATTCACAAAGGATTAATATCCAGAATCTGCAAGGAACTAAAATGAACAAGAAAAAAAAATAACCCCATTGAAAAGAGGACAAAAGACACAAACAGATATTTTTCAAAGGAAAATATATAAATGGCCAACAAACGTATGAAAAATGCTCGATATTGCTAGTCATCAGAGAAATGCAAATTAAAATCACAGTGAGATACCACCCTATCCATGTCAGAATAGCCATTATTAAAAAGTCAAAAAACAATAGATGTTGCCATGGATGCAGTAAAAAGGAAACACTTATACACTGTGGGTGAGAATGCAAACTAGTACAACCACTATGGAAAACAGTATGGTGATTCCTCAAAGAACTAAAAGTAGACCCACCATTCAATCCAGCAATCCCATTACTGGGTATCTATGCAAAAGAAAAGAAGTCATTATATCAAGAAGTCATATGCACTGATATGTTTATTGCAGCGGAAGTCAGAATTGCAAAGATAGGGAATCAGAGTAAGTGTCCATTAACTGATGAGTGGATAAAGAAAATGTGGTATGTATATATCATGGAATATTACTCAGCCATAAGAAAGAATGAAATAGTATCTTTTGCATCAACTTGGTTGAAACCAGAAGCCATTATCCTAAGTGAAGTATCTCAGGAGTGGAAAAGCAAATATCACCTATACTCATTTGTAAGTGGGAGCTAAATGATGGGTATACATGGTCACACAGAGTGGTATAATGGGCTTTGAGACTAGAATAGGGTAGGGCGGAAGGGGAGCTTAGGGATCAAAAATTACCTATTGAGTACAATGTACACTATTCTGGTGGTGGGTACCCTAAAACCCTGACTTCACCACTGTACAATTCATACATGTAACAAAAAAACCAGTTATACCCCTAAATCTATTGAAATAAAAATAAATAATTAAATAAATATATTTCTTAAAAGAATATTTTATTTTGAATAAAAACTAAAAAACCTGGTTTACCTAAGAATGATTTGAGATGAGGGTAGTAGGGTGAGGAGTGAGAAAAGTTGTCATGGTTACACAGCAAATTGTGCACATGTTTTTAAACTTTTGGACAAAGTTTCTATGCAAAGTGAACTTGCTCAAAATTTGTGCAATTTTCCAATTTCTATGGGCCAGTGGAGAAATGTAGTTAATTATACAGTTTCTTAGTTTATCCAAACTTGGGATTGTTTGGCTAAAGTTAACATTTGTGAGCATTCCACTTGTTTTGCTTTATTTGGGGAACTAAACTGCTATTTTTCTCCTAAATATACAGTGTCTGATAAACCCTACTGATATATTTTGCCACATCAACATGTTTCTCACTGCCATTTCTTAATTCAGCTTAGTTTATGAGCTGATGATGAATATGGATTTAAAATGTGGCTAACTACTCCCTTTCTTAAGGGAAGGCATTCTCAGGGCCTAATAACGTTCTGAATTTGGGTTTCTGAGAATATCTGTTTGATAATTTGCCTTGTTCTCAAATAAGATGCCATAAAGACAAAGATTTGCAGCATTCGCCTTCTTCAAGATAATGGGAAAAGTGCAGGATGCTCCATCACGTGAAATGTATCTTTGCCAAAATCAAGTTTAAATTCTCTGAAACACTAATAGCCTCTTGCATAGAACTGGATCTTTAAACAAACTCTGGTATCGTCACTTGGCTTCCTGTCACAAATCATCTCATTTTAATCTCATTTAATCTCCATAAATACATATAGAGAGAGTTATATATTCCAAATTATAAATAAATCTAAATTCTAAATAATTCTAATAATTCTATATAAATATATATAATATAAATTCTAAATTAAAATTCATTATATTGCTAGAGGCAATTTAAGCACTGATTGAATAAAGATAATAAAGAAAAACAGTGAGATGAAGAAACTCAGGCAGAGTGAAAAAAATATATCCTAAGGCCTTCATAGAACTCAAATTCTCATAACACCAGAACAGATAATTTTCTCCATAGAATGCCCCAATATTAGGTTATTAGGTATGAAATGTCCGATTTTCCTTAAGTACTAAGTTTGACAGTTGATATCGCTGACATTTCACTTTGACACTTCTTGTTTTATTTTTATTGTGAAGATATATCCCCAGTCTTGCAAACGCATGTTTTGGCTTGTGATTATCTTTCAAATTTTTTTTAGAGCAATTTTTGTGAAACTGTGGGTAAGTCAAAAGTCCGTGTTATTTTCTAATATGAATTCT